CATATATAAAGAAATATTAATAATATCACACCTAAGGAACCAAAGATTCTACTTTTGGGAATCTATACTAAGAAACTACTCACAGATTCAGACAAAGATTCGTGTGTAAAGATGGTCATCAGAGCATAGTTTGTAATAGGAAAAAAAGAAATCTAGAAACAACCTAAATATTCAACAATAACAGAATAAGTAAACCAACTCTGCCACTCTTCAAAAACACATTTTTTGAAGAATTTTTAATGCTAAAAGAAAATTATCATGTCAGGTGAAGAGGGATATAAAGCCGTTCACATAAGACAATCTCAATTATGGACACTCCAAGTAAATATCTACAGAAAAAATATCTCCATCAGAAAAGGCTAGAAGGAGATACCCCAAATATTACTTGTGGTTTTCTCTGAGGAATGAGTTTCCTTATTTATATCTGCATTTTTCAGACTGTATATATACAATGAACGTGGTTAATCTACAAATAGACAAAATGTAAAACAGGTAAGAGAATCTATTATAATACCAAAACTAAAATAAAAAACATGAGGTCCTAGACCAGGCCGGTGGCAGGGGGCAGAGAAGATGATCCTGAAGGTGAGTCCATAGTATTTAGGGACTGTGGTAGGTCACCAAGGGGACAGAGAGGGCACTCCAGGACAGCTCGAAGCTTTCTAGCTTGAGCAGCAGCATGGATGAATGATGGTTTTACAAGCCACCGTAGGAAATATAGAAAGAAAGAAAAAGAATGGGTCAAGAGGAAAGATGATAAATTCAGTTGGGCCTCACCGGGTTTGCAATGCCAAAAGGACTCCTTGGTAGAGATGCCCAGTCCAGAGCCAGCCATGTGCGGGGCTCAAGCTTGGGAAGGAGATCTGGGTACACGTATGCTAAGGGCGACAGCAGGGAGTCTGTGAAGCCAGGGCTTGAGCGAGCATGCTCCAGTATTCTGTGTGTTCCGTGAAGGGGGCAGACCCCGCTCCCACGGAGGCTCAGACACTCCGGCTCTGGTGCTCTGCTCCTTCCATCCAAAATGTGACCTGCGGTGGCCCCTGACTCCCTCGGTCGCAGGGACGGCTGCTGGGTTACAGCGAAGAGCCTTGAAGAGACTTGCTGTGGCTTAAATGCTGTTTGGCGCTGTGGTTGCTGCTTCCATTGAGGCCTGCAGAGCTCTCTCAGAGCCAACCACATAAAACTTGCTACTGTGTATTTTGTAGGAATGGTGTTTGAGACAATGGCCACTGCCTCACCCAGTGGCCTCTTTTTACAACAACCCATAGGGGAACCATCTCAGGCTTAGGACCAGGAAAGCGTGAGCAACTGGACACCAGGAATCCTATAACTGCTCCTATTTCCCTCTTTGACTTGGCCACTAGGAAGCTCAGAACAAAATCTGTGGCCCATCTTCAGCAACCTCATATGATCACATAGTGTGCATTTTAGGGTGCTAATCTATTAACATTTCTATCTTTGTTGTTTTATTGGCTATGTTTTCTCTTTGTCTCAATTTCTTCAACTGTCAATTTTTGTGAAACTATGTAAAGTCAAAAACTGTCTTCATCTCGTGCCCATCCATTGAGTGTGTTTCCACCTCCTGGAGCTACATGAAGAATTCTAACCCTTCTTCCCCAGGCAGCCCTTCAGTGTTCATGTCCTCCACTAAATCCTATTTGTTTAGGTACCAGAGCCCCACTTTCTTCAACAATTTCCCTTAGATGTGAGCTCCTAAAGAATCTTTCATCCTTTTAGACTCAGCTGATGGCTCATCTTCTCTTGGCGTCTTCCCTGAAGCTCCTACCCTGGGTGTCCCTCCATTGCAGCATGTACAGCAACCACAGGCAACGGCTGATTCTCATGCTGGCCTCTCCCACTGGACTGGGAAATCCTGAAAAACAGAGATCATGCCCTAATTGCCCCCAACTGGTACTCAGCCAGGGCCCAGGGCACAATATAATAATAGATGCATAAGTATTCGTTAAGGAAATAAATGAATAAATGAATATGTGTATATGCAACTTCCTCACTCATACACATGCTGAAAGAAAGCCAAGCCCAGGAGAAAAGGGAGGGCCCAGTTCAGCTCAGTTGCCTGTGGGCCTTTCCCTCCGACACCTCTTTCGCCATAGGACTGTCCCCAACAGACTTGAGGCCCTCGGCACCAGGGCCAGAGCTTATTCTTCCAGCTAAATGCAGAGTAAATATATATCAGACAGAATTGGTCCCGGGAGGGCGACTGGGATGAATTTTCACAGAAAGAAAGGATTTCACAAATCAAAAATGCAAGATGCCGGATGCTCCAACCCATACTTATTTTAACAGCACACTCTTACATAGGTGCTAATGACGTGCCTGGCATGGTCTTAAGTTCTTTACAAATATCATCTTATTTAATCCTTGTAACAACTTCATGAGACAGGTACTATTTCTATCCCCATCTTATTTTCATACAGTCCTCTTAGCATTCGAGTCAGCTATCCTGAAATGAAGGAAGATGCAGCTATTCAGTCACCGAATAAAAGAAAATAAGTTACATTTAGCTCCAAAGCATAAATGACTGACGGATCAAAAGTTGGCCTTTGATCTGAGACCTGGGTCTCACAGAATCCCACATCGCTCACTAAGCGTTGACCAGACACCTCCCAGCACTGTCCTCCACGAGTTCACGAGCCTGGCGGAGGAAAGACCGCATCCCTAAACAAATAAGTTACCAGGCCACATGACAAGTACATTAGGACCAGCGACCCAGTGCAGTGCTGGCAGCAAGAGGAAGTATTCTCTCTGGCTAGATGAGAAGGCTTCCTGGAGGGTGTGACGTGTGGGTTCCGTTTTAACAGCTGCTCCAGAGTTCACCAGGGAGCAGCAGAGACAGAGCAGGAAGCGAGCACGCAAAGGCGCAGGGGTGTGAAATGCCTTTTGGGGAACTGTCGGTAGTCTGGGGTAGCACAAGAATGAAGGGGGGGGCGGGAGCTGGGGAAATGAGGAGTTATGATTCACATGGTAGCCTTGGTTGTAGTACCAAGAAACTTAAAGTCACTAATGGGTATAATAGTCATTTCTGTTCTAGAAAGATTCTTTGAGCAGCAGCGTGAGAGAGGATGGCAAGACTAACCAGAGAGAGACCTGTCAGGAGGCTGTTGGAATAAACCAAGCAAGGATCAGTGTGCGTCTGAACTAGGGCACTGGCTTCGCGGGATATTTGGGAACCTGAAGCTTTGCACTGATGGGAAGGCTGGTGTAGGGGTGCAAGGTGACGCCCCAGCTTCTGACTCAGAAGACCGGGAGGGCAGTGCCCTCACTGGAAGGGGGACCCTGAGCAGGGAGCACACCTCCAGGGACAAGGACAAGCTTAGCGAGGCTCTAAGCTTGGGAAAGCCAGACTGAGCAGCAGATACAGTCTCTTCATTATCTCAGAGAAGTTATTCGGCTTCTCGCTCACATCTCCTTTTAATAAAATATGATGCGTTTCATGCTGTCATCGTAGTGAAAAATCATTGCCCTTTGCTGGGAATTCATAACCTTTTGAATTAATCACCTTTGGGCAGGAAAATTGGTTTCATTAAGACCTCTAGGTCCATGATCTCTCTGTCCTGCTGTCCCCTGAAACCAAAAGCCCGAGACTTAGTATTTGAGAAGCTTGAGTGACTTTATGCTCAGAAAGAATGACCAGGGTCCTTGGTAATTGGGCTGAATTGAGCTCACCGACGAGAAACGCTGGTATGGCCTGGTGTCTGCCCCTCAGCCACAGGAGAGCCCACCCTCAGCCGGAAGGGACGGGGAGAACAGCCTCCTCCAGCCCTTGGCCTGAGCCCTAATCTCGGCAGAAAAGGTGTCACCCATCTTGGAATGCCACAGCCCTGAGAACACAGGCTTCACCCAGCCCCCAAGCAGAAGTGTCTGCCTTCGGCCGACACAGTGGCCTTGACAGCTGTGGGGCTGCCTTGCGGAGTTGAGTGACTGCTGACCCCCATTTTAAACTGGCTCAGGGCCAGAGTGAGGTTCCCCTAAAAAGGAGGCTAGAAGGTCTTTCGGAACAGCAACTGGAGGTGAAATCTTAAAAACAGTCTTCCTCTCTCTACCCCACTTTCCCAGAGTCTTTGAAAGATTCCGAATGGATATTCGTTTATCCTTTTCTGCTGAAAAGCTCCTTAGCAGCATCCTATCATCTAGAGCATCAAGTCCAGACTCCTCAGCATCCCAGGGACCCCACACTCTGGCTGCCCAGCCTTGTCTCCTGCCTCCTTATGCCTACAAGTATCCCATGCCTCCGAGCCCTCACTCTGCTGTTCCCTAAACTCAGAAAACCCTACTCCCTCCCCCACCCACCCACATGCACATGCACACAAGCCCTTGCTCATCCTTCAAGGCCAGGATCAGCAGCATTTTGCCTGAAAAGACCTCCCTGGGTGCCCCTCCCCCCATGATGTGAAATCTACCAGTTCCTTTGTGATCCTCCGGCCCCAACCCTACCTGGCTCCATCATATAACGCATCTGCAAGTGAGAACAGGTGGAGCTACATGAGTGAATGCATAGAGTCATCTAACTAAGGCACTCTCTTCACGCTCGCTGTAGCATGGGGATGTCGAGAATTGGAATCACAGAGACCTGGGTTCAAATCCTGACTACCCCTTAACGGCAGTGTGATTTAGGGTGAAGTACTTATCCTCTCTGAGCCTCAGTCCCAATGGCCTCTCCCATATTCCTGCTGTCCTAGAGCTGCTCCAGGGTCTGGGTGGCTGACACTAGAGCCACTGGGATGGCAGGATGGAGGATCTGGCCCCCTCCACCCCTGTGTTGGGTCCTCCTAGGTCGCCCTCCATCATCTCCAAGGAGACAAATGGCCATTCTGCTGGACATGCTCTTTTGGGTTCCCTGGAGCTGCGGCTCATATCTACTTCCAGCACCTGACAGAAACCCCATTGGCTGGTGCGCTTAGAAAGCTTTGGGCTCTCCTGGAGCTGGCAGAGGTGGAACAGACGCCAGGGTAAGCACTGTGGCCAACCTTATCTTCCAGAGCCATTTGGAAGATCTCACGCCGTTGAAACAGGGGAAACGTTGCAGGAGACAGAGACCAGATTCCTGCTCTTTGAAGACAAAACCGATAAGGGCTGTCAGCTTCAGCTCCATCACGCAGACACGTTACAGCAGTGCGGCTTCAACGCCTCCCTGCCCCTGGTGATGATAATCCACGGCTGGTCGGTAGGAAACGCTGACGCGCCTCTTCTCTCTCTGCTTTCATATTTTCCTTTTTTCTCCCTAGTGTGCTCAATTGTAATAAAAAGATAGGGAGCCAGCGATAACAACTTCATGCTTAATATTTGTAAAGCATATTCTGATTTTCCAAGTGCTTCCCACACGTGATCTAATGGATTATCTCAATTCCCTGAGTAAGCAGGGCAGGGAAAGTAGAACTATCCCCATGTTTCAGATAATCAAATGTGGCTCCAGGAGGTCACACGGTGCGTGAGGGCCCACAGGGAATGCCGCCCGTGCAGGTGAATCTGGCTGTTTCACAAGAGGAGGTGGGAAGCCAGAAAACAGTCTCCCATTGAAACGTTTTATCTGTAAGGGCTAAATTCAGCTGCAAATAGCAGAAACTCAAATTGGCAGTGGTTCAAATAAAACAGAAGTTTGCTTCCATTTCACACAATAGTCCAGAGATATGTAACCCAGATCTGGATAAACAGCTTTGATCAATGAAGTCCTCAAGGACCCAACTCATCTCCAGCTCGCTGCTCTGCCATACTTTGAGTGTGGCCCTCATCCTCATAGTCCAAGATGGCAGCTAGAGCACTAGCCATCACATCTTCATTCCAGAGGGCACAATGAAGTAACGGATGTACACATAAGAGTCAAACAGTAGAGTTTTTTTAAACAGCTTGAAATATAATTCACATATCATACAATTCACCCATGGAAAGTGTGCAATTCAATGGCTTTTGGTATCAAAGAGTTTTTTTAGGTTATCCTCTTAGAAGCATCTGTGAGATGCTTCCAGTTACATCCATTGGCCACACGAGATGGAAAGGTGGCTGAGATGTGTAGCATCTTAGAGAAAGTGTAACCTTGTAGAGACACTAGAAATTCTACTATTATGGAAGAAAGGGAGAAAGAGTATTGTGGGCAATAATTGGAGTCAAACTAAGTGAGGACTTCTCTCCAAGAGGGAATTCTGCCTCCCTGGTTTTCAGTCCATTCAAAGCTTGGTTCACGATTTGAAACCCCCAGAGATTTGGGATCTATTTTGTGACTTGGAAACCTTTCTCTGCCATCTAGCTGAAAAAGACTAGAAACTCCCCTCCATCCTGCCCTCGAGAGGCCAGTGGGTCCACCCACCCACCACTCCTTCCACACGTGTTCAGGAAGAGCCTGCTGCGTGTGGCCTCAGAGCCTCCGCAGGAACAGAACAGACCCCAGGCCTGGACGTGTCGGGTAGTGGGGAGCCACGTGACGCCACGTGGGTGCAGCCGCCAGGTGGGGTGCCTGATATTGCCATCCCAGAAAAGCACAGAGGCTCCTGCAGGCTGCCAGCAGCTTCCCCCTAGGATTTAAAGGGGTCCCACCACCCCACAGGGTTGGCAGTGAAGGCGGCGGGGGCTTTCCTAGCCCTAGAGAAGGGACCTAACATAGATTGAGGCCCTTTACACATCAGCCTATTCAATCCTCACACCTCCTTATGAGGATGGTTGAGTTAGTCTCATCTCTCAGATAAGGAAACTGCAGCTCAGAGAGGTCAAGCAGCTACCTCAGTCACACAACCCTCAGTGGACAGACATCCAGAACCAGAATCCTCAGGCTCCAAAGCCCACACTCTCAGACTCCGCTTCACTGAGCCCTCATCAGGGTGGGTTGACTGGGCCCATCCCGCAGCGGGCTTCACGCGGCAGTCTCCTCACTGCAGCTCTCTAGCCCTGTAGGAGCTCCATCTGCATTTCCTTAAGAAAACCATGGAATAGCAGGCAGAGGGCAGGGCCCTGAGAAGATGAAATCCGTTTTAAAGGGAACTAAAGATCAGACTTGGAGAGCTCTCCCGTGGACCCAGTGGGGTGGATGGATTAGACGGAGGCCAGTCACTGTGAGGGAAGAGCAGTCCATCCTTCAGCTGCTTTAGCCAAAGGGACATTCCCTTGCAAGAAAAAGGGAGAACACGGTGGGCAGGAGGGACTGCTTCTGGAGGAGAGCTCTGGACGGGTAGGGCTGCGGACTCCAGACACGACTCCAGGTGAGGACCCGAGCTGAGGGAAGTCAGAGAGGTTGGCAGCGTGGCAGGGCTACCTGCCCCCCCCACCTCCCTCTGCCTCCCCCCCATTTCCCCTGCCTCCCCCCACCTCACACTGCCTCCCCTGACCTTCTTCTGCCTCCTCCCCATTCCCCCTGCCCCCCCCCTTCCTCCCCCTCACCCCTGCTTGTAGCTCCTTCCACCTACTATGTGAGTCCTCTCCCCTTGGCCTCAGCTGAGGCTGTGCCTCCTGCCTAGAGGGTCCTTTCCCCTCTTCTCCTGTGGGACGGTATCCGTCATATATTAAGTGTTCCTAAAATATTTGCTAACTGAATTAATGATCGAATAAATATCTCATTTACAAATGCAGCCTGGATAGATAGCAGGGTCCTTTTACAAGAATGAGCTCTTCATTCTCAAAAGCCTGTCCAGACTGGAACATATCTACTATTACTAGCAATAACAACGACAACGAGAGAAGCTGCAATAACCAACATTTCCGAGTCCTTACTGGGCCCCAGGCGCTGTTCTAAGAGCTTTACCTCTACTAACGGATCCCGTCTTCACAACCATCCTGGAGGTATTACCCTCACTTTCCAGATGAGGAGACTGGGCACAGAAAAGTGAAATAACTTGCCCAAGGTCACTCAGCTAGTAACTGGAAGAGTCTGCATTTGAATCCAAGATGCTGCACCCACACAGAAGGCACTGGGCAAATGTTTATCAAATGAATGCATCTTGCCCCAGAATGACAGCTTCACGGCTGTGGTCTAGTCTTCAACTGCACCGCGTTTCTCCTCTCCCCAGATAGGTCATACTGCCCTTTTGTGATTCTGTGCCTCTACACTTGCTCTGCCTTCTTCCTGGAAGGCCCTAGACCCCCCCACCACCAGCATATTCACCTGCCCACCCTCATTCTTCTAAGTGAATGCCTGTTAATCCTTCAAGACACAGCACAAATGTCTTTGCTCTGCAAACCCATCAGGTGTGCCGTGTAAATGGTTCTCAAATAAGGTGCATACACAGGACAATGCTCCATCAACATTTATTGAGCTCCTGCTGTGTTCCAGCTCAGGGTGCTCATCCCTCTAAAGCCAGCAGAACGCAGGGCTGAGAGGAGAGCAAACGCAGGGGGATGCAGAGGGCGGCAGAGCAGGCTTTCCAGAGGAGATGGTGCTGGAGCCGACCCTCAAAGGATCAGCAGCTTTCAGGACCTGATTTACACAGACTTTTCCACTGTTTTCAGAATTGGAAAGTCCTAAAATAGGAAAATGTTAAGACAATGGTTCTAAGTTGGCGGCTGGTGGTAGCTCCCAGGGGACATTTGGCAAAGTCTGGAGACATTTTTGGTTTCCCAACTTGGAGGGGTGGGGGGAGTCCTGCTGGCTTCTAGTGGGTAGAGGCCAGAGATGCTGCTACACATCCCACAGTGCAAAGGACGGGCCCCACAACAAATAAGCATATGGCCCCAAATGTCAATAGTGCCAAGGTTGAAAAACCGTCTTAAGCCCTTTCTCTTGGAGAGAAAGATCCAGCATCAGCCAAGAGTTGGAGAAGAAAAAGGGGTGAATAGAAAGAAAGAGGAAACCAGCCCCCTCCATCCCCTCCTGGTGAAGCTGACTTCCCTTTGGGCCCACCTACAGTTCGATGGCCTCCTGGAAAACTGGATCTGGCAGATGGTGGACGCGCTGAAGTCTCCGCTGGTCCAGCCAGTGAATGTGGTGCTGGCAGACTGGATCACCCTGGCCCACCAGCAGTATACCATCGCCATCCGCAAAAGCCGCCTTGTGGGCCAGGAGGTCGCAGCTCTTCTCCAGTGGCTGGAGGTAAGACCTGCCCAGCCTCCCTTCCCCTAAGACTGAGTGGATGAAGCTGGTCTCCAACAGGAACACAGACCAGAGAACCACTTCTGCTAAGCTCACAGGGCTGGGAAGGCAGGGACGGAGACCAGACGCAGGGGCTCTCTCAGATGCCTCGCTTGAACCCCTATTTTGTAGAACCGTCTTATCTCCCTATGCCATCCATTGTTCCTCTTATGCTCTCCCCCTTGGATGTCCTAAGGGACACACTCCGTAAACCATCCAACCCCACATGAACCACAGGATCACTTCTGTGGGGCACTCATGTTCAGGTGAAGTCAAGCAGGATCCCAGGTAGCTGAGCCTGAAAGGAGGGTCACTTCTCTAGGAGGACAGAGTCAGCAAGGGGAGAAACCAGTTTGGGTCTGGAGTGTGAATTAAGCACCTCATTTGCCATGGGGCGCAAAGAACAGGGTGGGAGCCCAGAACAAGCTGGACCCACAAAAGGCTTTAATCCGGGCAGCTCTTCTCCTCCTGTAACCATCTCGTTGCTGTCTTCCAGGAATCTGCTCAGTTCTCTCCAAGCAACGTTCATCTAATTGGGTACAGCCTGGGCGCGCACGTCTCAGGCTTCGCTGGCAATTACATGGGCGGAAAGCACAAGATTGGGAGAATTACAGGTAACCTCGCCTGGTAACTAACCACTGTAGTCTCCACCTCTGCATGGGGGCGCAGAGCAAGGACCTGCTTTTCCATTAGTCTCATGGTTAACACCCCCAGCTTCCTTTGCGCCATATTGGTCTTCAGAGGAGGACTTGTAGCGCTATCTCAAGCATGACGGCTGCCATAGACTGCTCTTCCGAGAGAATTCAGAGCAAATCGCAGCCTCGATTCCTATTGCCTTTCCTCCAACAAATGCCCTTCATAGTCCCGCCACATAGAACCTAAAAAGTAGATTTTCCATATGCTTTGTAGCAGGAAAGAGTTTACTTTTCAACCTATGATTTAAAAAACCAACGTGAGTGAGTTAAAGAAGCACAACCCTAAATTTGCGGTAACATCAGCCGTGTTTGTGCCTCAGTGTCCACATTTGTGAAACACGTGGGTCTTACTCTGGAACCCCTCTGGATGGAGGGAGGGAGCTCTACACCAATTCGGAAATGGCCCCGGATACCCAGGAAGAGCTGGAGATGTGCAGGAAGGCCTTTCCTCCCCGGTGTCCTTGACACCAGCCTCGTCCCCGTGCTGCCCCGGAATTAGGTTTGGAAGAATACACCTGATCAGACTGTTGCCCAGCCAAGTCCCCAAGGTCCACTGACACCCACAGGATAAAACTCAGCATGTGCAGGCAAGGCCCTTCTCAGTGTAGTGTCCTCAGAGCTCTCCAGCTTCTCCTGCTCTTCCCTTCCTGTCGTTCTAGTGCTCTTCCAGGGCACTAGATTTTTCTCCACTTTACAAACACGCCATAGCCTCTTGCACTTCTGGGCCTGTGCGTGCAGTGTTCCCATCGCCTGGAATACCTTACCCACTCATCCACCCAGCACTCGTCTGCCTACCAAACTCCTACTTAACCGTCAAGATCCAGCAGGCTAACACAATATTTCACAGGCTGAAACAATTCAAAGGGAATTTAAGATGAACAACATTGTTGTGACCTTTTATTTTACCAATTAAGAACATTTTTGGCATCTACTGTTTACTATTGCCATTACTTCACAGAAGAAGAAATTTGTTTTAATGTGAAAAAGATAAGATAATGGCAGACATTTAAATAAAATAAATTCACCATCTTGAGAACTCACTTCCTCAATCTTATTTGTTTTCATCTTGCTGGTGACAGGGGAGGCCTGGTCCACAGTATTTGTGCCCCCACCCCTGTGACTTTACCCTCAATAGCCTGGGAGTGAGCAGACCTTCCACAGAAGGCCAGTGAGGCCCGTCACCAAGGAACCAGGCCTAGGAGGCTCAGCCAGAATCACAGAGAGGCAGCCTCAGGCCCAGGACCCTCTCCAGGCTGGCTGGTGTCGTGGGCCACATCATGCATTATTAGCCAGGCCCATACAAGTCAGAGGCAGCGGGATGGCTAATTACTCTGTTGTCATCTTGTAGTCAGCCTGATGAAGAAACGAATGTAAGTCACACCAGGACATCTTTCATTTGTACCTATGGGTGAGGGCTGGAGAACAGACGTTTTCATGGCCCCCTGTCAATTCCTTTGCCCCAACGGGGATGGAAGCCAGGGCTGACATGAACATCAAAGCATCCTCCAGAGACGGTAAAGGAAGAAAGACAGAGGGAAAAAAATCTGGAGTGCATAAATACTCCCCGACTACAGTGGGCCAGGAGCGGCCACTTGTCTCATGCAGACACACCTGTCACTTAAGGACCAGAGATTTGAGCAGTCTTATTTGCTCACAACACTTTCACCTGGGAACAGTGATGTCCCAAGGCTGTTCTGGACATTCCCATAAAATGACATTAGTGTAGGAGAAAAGCTAGCTTGTTAAGGGAAATTATTGACAAGATGCAGGCAAACAAAGTCTTTCTTTGATGGGTAGGTTAGAACTACTTACAATAAGCACAGTGGGGTTTTTTGTATGCAAACAGATGCTCTTGAAAGTAGCTTGAGAGGTATTTAAAATTGATTTGCTTGAATAAATCAAGCGTATCCTCATAACCTTGTTTCTACCACTGGATAGTTCCTGCAAACCTCTTTTCCCCATAGATAACGCCCAGCCTGTGTCTAATTTTCAGCACCATGAATTACTGTGGTTTTACTCCAAAAAGGTTACAGCGAGATTTTCTAGAGAAAGATTATGCCCTAGGATTTTCTTCTTCCTGCTAGCTCATGAATGTGTAACAGCATCAAAAAGCTGGAAGGCGCATTTTCCCCCTCCCCTTCTCCCACCTAACGCTTGTCCTTGCTTTCCTGTTAGCACTGGATGCCGCGGGGCCCTTGTTTGAGGGCACTGCCCCCAGCGAACGTCTTTCACCAGATGATGCCAACTTTGTGGACGCCATTCACACCTTCACCCGGGAGCACATGGGCCTGAGTGTGGGCATCAAACAGCCCATTGCACACTATGACTTCTACCCCAATGGGGGCACCTTCCAGCCTGGCTGCCACTTCCTGGAGCTCTACAAAGATATCGCCAAGTACGGCTTAAATGGTAAGAAAGACGACATGGCCAAGAGCAGTAGCCTCCAAGGGCTTACACTCCCCACACTTGCATGGAGCCTCTGGATCCAGTGGATTCTACCAGCTCTGCAGGATTCTGGGAAGAGTTTGGCAAGGGTGGGGGCCCAGGGCATAGGGTCACCAAGTCCGCTCAGAGAGAGAGGGTTTGTGGGAGTGGGGAAGGGCTGGTGTTCCCCTGACAGGCCCCTCCTCTTAACAGGCAGTGGTCATTGGAGCCAAGCTCTGAGGACGAGCAGGGGCCCCACCAGGAACCCCCACTTCTTATCTCCACCCGCTGTCCCAAAGCAAAGTCTCTCCTGGATACAAGCCAGTTGAGTCCTGATGCCTGTGGTTATTCCCCCTTCTCCAGAAGCTTCCTTCTGGACCACATGAGGATCCACTTAATAGATGATGGCTTCTCGATCCTTGGTCTCACAAGAGTGGGACTAACACTTCCACCCCTGTGAGGCTTAATCAGCTGATCCTACAGGACGTTACTGAGATTCTTCCAATTCGAAGTTCAGCACTAAATATGTTCTTGGGACTTCCTTCATCTCAGGGCAGAAACCAAACGTGGCTTTATCTGGGTTCGGATCCCACTTCTCTCTCAAATCCTAAAACCAAACCATTAACAGTGCACATTGATAACATGCGCAGGATTAAGGAAGAAAAATGTCAGCAAAATCCATATGTCCCACAGGCATTCCACATTTCTCATTATTATAAACTATCATCCTGATTGAAACATGCCAACTTACTCTATGCCAGCTGGAGACCCCCACCCGTGCACACCACCTTCTCACCCAAACCGTCCAAAACGAGCTGAGAATACTCTCTTGTGATTACGTCACCACCTTCCCCTCTCCTGTAGCAGAATGACCTTCACACTCGACATTCTCTCACTTTGGCTGGACTCCCAGCTTTCCACCCACCCACGCCTGAGAGAGCCTTCTGGGAACTTCCCTTATCATTCCTTACATCCCCCTCGAGCCATCGCCCCTCTGGTCACCAGCAGTTCCTGGCTGACCATCCAGCTCTCCCCCGCGATCTACACCCTCCCAAAGCTTGACACAGACCTCTGGGATGGTGCTCAGTAACTAGTTGCCTGATAAATGCATCTCTGATCAATTAGTGCTATTGGCTCTTTTGGACTAAACTTCAAAGTGACAGAACCAAGTATATTTATTTAGCTTGCCCAAATTTGGTGTGGTTTTTCTCAGTTTTCTTCAACCTTAATTTTAAAAGTGATCCCATTCTGGGATGGTTCTCCCAACCACACCAGAACAGAAGGTAACTTGGTAACTGCTCTACCACCCTGTCGATGAAAATAATCCATAACCAATCTATAAATGAAAATTTGGGTGAGCTTATTCTGAGCTGAAATCTGAGGACCATGGCCCGGGGCCTTTCTTCCCAAAGGAAGAAAGGGCACCGAAGAAGTGGGGTACTCAGAGTGGTTATATACCCCCAAACAGGGTGTTTCACATATGATTGAAATGTCCCTCCCACAATAGTCACAAGATTGCCCTGTCGGCACAGCGCATGATGGACACAGCAGGTAGTGGGTCTGCTATCTTGATGGGCGTAGCAGGAGGCAAGCCTGTTGTCTCGAGCTGGGCGGCCACAGGTGAGCGCAGCAATCAGTTCCTAGCCTAAGGAAAGATACTTAATCCTTAAGGAGATGCCAACTTTTGGGAGGGGGAGGGAAGTTGCACCTTTATCTCAAGGGCCTTTGTTCTTGCCATAGGGAATATCTAAAGCAGACATACAATGCATGCTCAACAGCCACGGTCAGGCCCTTTTGGAAAGACAAGGTCAGGACGAATTAGGTTTATACCAAATGGCTTCCTCATATTCTCCAATATATCCTATTGCTTGCCATTTTTGTCAACCCTCACCCCCTCTAGCAAGGTGAGCATGAGTGAGTTAGGGAATGTCTTTGAGGCCCGGTTTTCTCATTTCCAGCAGCTGCCTCAAGGAGCGGGGTGAAGGTTCAGGGAGGGGTCGGGTGGAGGCCCTCAGCACGGTCCCTGCCTCACAGCAGGTGCTCAGCAAACGCAGACCAAGAACTGGACTGTCTAGTCTTGGCGTTCAGCCTTCAGACACTTGGGGAAATAGCTTTTGGCAAAGTTACCTGTGCTCTGCATTCACATTAGCTACTTTACATATCTTGTGGTGGTTCCTCAACATTCCTTGAGAATAATTTACTAAAGATTAGGTTAATATTTGGAGAGTTAAAAAAAAAAAATCCATCATAGATAAACCTCCTAAGCTTGCTGCTTTGGGGTAGGCCCATTCCAACCCGGTCACTGGAGTGTGTCCTTCTAGAAGCCAACCCCAGTCTGGCTTTACAGGCCTGTGACCCAGGGGATGCAACAGCTGCTTTGGGTCAGAAGGTGGACATTGAGGGAGAGGCCTCAGCTCGCACTTGACCATTAGCCGAGCCCCAGGAGTGCCTCGGCCCTCATTTACCTAACTTTACCAAGCACAGAGGCATGCCACACCAGCCTGTTCCAGCTCACTTATCCCCAAAGCACTAAGCACGTGTGCTTTTTTAACCATTTGAGATACAAATATTTCTAAAGTGAATTACACTGTCCTGCTTTCTGAAATAATTCGATATTTTCTTAGCGACTTGGGGTTCCTGTGAAAACACCTATGATAACACAGTGTAATGGCGGGGAGCCCCCAGGAGCCCCGTGGTGCGTGGGGCTATGCCTCTCACTACATCACTGAGAGGGATCTACTCTTCCCGTAGTTTTGTGTCCTTGGTTACACCCCGCTGTTGTCGGTGGGTCACTCTCAGCAACCGCACCCCTCCTTGCTAATGTGCTGCTACTGAGAAACAAGACGACCCTTGGAGTTGAGCGTACTTTGGATTAAGGGGGGATAATGTCCTTCTTGGCCTGTATTCCAGCCATCACCAAGACCATCAAATGCGCCCACGTGCGGTCGGTGCACCTCTTCATCGACTCCTTGCTGCACCCCAGCATGCAGAGCACGGCCTACCTGTGCAGCGACATGGACAGCTTCAGCCAGGGCCTGTGCCTGAGCTGCAGGAAGAGTCGCTGCAACACGCTGGGCTACCACGTCCGCCAGGAGCACAGAGGCAAGAAGAGCAGGAAGCTCTTCCTTGTGACGCGAGCCCAGGCCCCGTTCAAAGGTGAGTGTGGGTGGCCCCGAGCCTTCAGAAGGGCAGCGTGCAGCCACCGGTCTGAAGGTCCAGAAGCTCCCCGAAGCCTTTTCCTGGAGCGACTTCGGCTCTGCTATTTTAGTGTTTCTGAAACTGCCCAGATTCCGAGGATGTTGACACAGTCCCTCTCTTTTCCCAAGAATGTGGCCACCTTGCTGCCAAATGCTAGAAGGAGAAAACTTGATACTTTCTGGAACAGTCCTCGGGTCCGCCTCTCTTCGTCTATTTTCATAGTCCCTTAGGACGTTAGATCCGGAAAGCCCTGAGGGGTGACATCTACCACCCAGGTCTCATTGTACAGAGACCTGGAGGCGTCTCCCTCCCCGAGACTAGAACCTGCTGTGTTCATCTCTGCCCACGGCCATGAAAACACAGGGCTTCAGGCTACAGTTGCAGCTCTTCGCTTCCCCTAAAGTTTGAATCAGCTGATCTTCCAGGATATCATTGTCCAGTTGAGGCCCTCCCAAGCTGAAGTTCAGCTGCCAGCATTTCCCCGGTCATACCCTTAACCTCAGGGCAGAAACCGGCCTCTCTGGGTTGAACCGGAGGTCAGAGAAAGGGCTGTGGCTAGATCTTGGGCTGAAGCCAGCACAGAAACACTCCACTGAAGCCTCAATCCTCCTGGAGGGAACAAGCCGACATCTGTTGCCATTAACATTTCTGCCTAATCCTGAAACCAGCCCGTGCATGATTTAGCATCTTCCTGCTTCACAGCCCCTGCTCACGGCGCTGGGAGGAGCTGGCTGCTGAGCTGCTCCATTATTACCGGGCAGATATCTGTAGGTGCAGAAGGTGAGCACACCCTCACCGCCACGTGGCGTGGGCACAGCATTTTATACAAAATATCAGATGCAGCCACGGGCTCCTTGTTGTTCCCACGACAGCCAAGCAAGGTCAGCAGGACTGTTATGATCCCCATTTTAGAGAAGGAAAGCAAAACTTGAGTGGGGTGAGCTGCCCTGGGCCACGCAGCCTGGAAGGAGGCCTAGAACCCAGGTCCTCCCAACTCCCAGTCGGCGTTCCTTTTAATATCACACTCACAAGGGCAAGCTCCCAGGAGACTTCTTTTTGGGGGCTCAAGATTCCTCTGTTCATCTGAACTTTTGCTCTCCAGCCAGACTTCCCTTCTCTGAGGCCCAGGAATAACAGAAACGCCTTGTGGGATGCTGATAGCTTCTGAGAGCAGTTGGAGTGAGGGCAGGATCTCTCCCACCTGGGGGCCAGAGGGTCCCCTCCGCCGTCTGTCCCTTAGGGACGGAGGAGCCCTAGCATCCTGCAGCAGGTGAGGGAATTGGGAGGGTCCCCTGCTTAAGGGAGCTCCCCCGCCGCAGGCTGCCAATTAGACACCTTTGGGTTAACCAGCTCCTCTTTTAAATGGCAAAGGCCCCCAGAGTGATTAAGCCTCTCAGATAATCACATTTCACTGGATCTAATTTAATCCTGGAATGTTAGCTTTTCAAGAGACCATTCAACCCCACCAGCTCACAGATGGGGAAACCGAGGCCCAGATGGAGGAAATCATTTGCCCTGGGACACAAAAATTTTTTGAGTGATTTTTTACCTCAATAACTGCCCTGGTCTGTTTGTAGGGGTAAGGGAGGCAGGGGGGTGTCGACAAAAATAATCCATAACCAATCTATAAATGAAAATTTGGGTGAGTTTATTCTGAGCTGAAATCTGAGGACCATGGCCCGGGGCCTTTCTCCCCAAAGGAAGAAAGGGCACTGAAGAAGTGGGGTGCACAGAGTGGTTATATACCCCCAAACAGGGTGTTTCACATATGATTGAAATGTCCCTCCCACAATAGTCACAAGATTGCCTGTCAGCACAGCGCTTGATGGACACAGCAGGTAGTGGGTCTGCTATCTTGATGGGCATAGCAGGAGGCAAGTCTATTGTCTTGAGCTGGGCGGCCACAGGTGAGTGCAGCAATCAGTTTCTAGCCTAAGGAAAGATGCTTAATCCTTAAGGAGACGCCAAAGTTGGGGGGGGTGGGGGAGGTTGCACCTTTATCTCAAGGGCCTTTGCTCTTGCCATAGGGAATGTCTAAAGCAGATATGCAATGCATGCTCAACAGCCACGGTCAGGCCCTTTTGGAAAGACAAGGTCAGGCCGAATTAGGTTTATACCAAATGGCTTCCTCATATTCTCCAATATATCTATTGCTTGCCATTTTTATTTGTCAGGGGTGAGAGCGAAAGTTTTGCTCTCTCCTTGAGATCAGTTGGAAAGAAAGGAGGTCATTAGTCCCCTTCCAGGGCTGGGCTGTGTGTCTGAAGTGAGGGGCTTGGTCCATCCCAGGACATCTGCTAGTGGCTTACAGATGGGGGAGGGAGGCGAGCATCAAGAGAAGGAAGAGCAGTTGGCACAAGCCAGGCTGAGCCCCTCCCTTTTGTCGAGGACCCCAGGTGGCCAACCACCACATGCTGCTGGCATGAGCTTGTTACTCACCCCTAAGATGTCGGTGACCCACAAGTGGATCCTTTTCCCTGGAGCCACTCATGCCAGTAGAACAAGATGGGTTCGGAATAGCAGAGCAGAAACTTCATTGACCAATGACTGAAGGAGACAAAGCTCATGCTGTAAAACACCTCCACCAGGGGAAGGTGAGCAGAGTTCTTACCAGATGGGAACGGGGAGGGTGTCTGCGTCATCCCTTGGGGTGGGGACATTTGGGGCATGCGTAGATCTTCCCTGCTTGCACACAGCACCTTTTGCACACATTTCCTTTTGCCCATGGCACCCCATGGCCGTCTTGGACCTTTCTGGTTTGGACCAGTTCTGTGGTTTGGCCATCTGGGAATGTTCTGTTTTGTTTCCTATAAGCAAGTACAACTTAAAAACAAAGCGTTAGCGTGGCTGGCCCCGTGGCTGAGTGGGTAAGTCCTCCAGCTCTGCTTCAGCGGCCCAGGGTTTCACTGGTTTGGATCCTTGGCATGGACCCAGCACCATTCATCAAGCCATGATGAGGTGGCATCCCACATACCACAACTAGAAGGACCCACAACTAGAACATACAACTATGTACTGGAGGGCTTTGGGGAGAAGGAGGAAAAAAAAAGAAACAGGAAGATTGGCAACAGATGTTAGCTCAGGGCCAATCTTTAAAAAAAAAAAAGCCTTTGCTTAAAAAAAAACAAAGCATTGGACATGGAGAATGTTTTAGGGACTTCCCTAGGTAACAAACTCACAGGGACCCCTTTCCTGTGAAGGAGACCAAAGGACAGCATTGTCTCACCCAGCAGCTACCAAAACCAATGTGCTCATCCCTTCACTTCTTCTTCAAGCATAAACTGAGCCAGAGTAGGCAGTCCCTCCCTCAGGGGGCTCAGTGGAAACCAACCCCCTGGCACAAAGTATGTGCTCTGTGTGTCCCGGGAAGACAGGCAGTGTGTCCCTTGGAGACAACACTTGGATCTTTGTTATCAACTACTCCTCTCGCTCCAGGGACGGCAGATGAGGATGGGACCTACGTGGCCAGTGATAGGGAGGCTCTGAGGCAGGACCGCCTGAAACTACCCAGGCCTCCAACCCCTGACGGGTTCCAGTGATGGACAGCGGCCTACACTGCACCCTCCCTTCTCTGGGCCCTCCAAATTCTCCCCAGGGCTGCCTCGGTCCTTCCTGTGAGCCAAGGCCTGAACTGCTTGGCCTAAGGTCGCTCACTGGTGGGGAGTAGCACCCTGTGGTCACACCAAGTTGCCCTGGGTATCACTGGAAATTATGCCCAGGTGAGACTCGGCCTGTTCAGAAGGGGCTGCTCATGGGATGTTGCAATGTGCACAATGCTACGTCGCACAATATGGTAGCCACTAACCATATGTGGCTATTTAAATTACTTAAAACTAAATAAAATCAAAAATTTGATTCCTCAGTCACGCTGGCCACCTTTCAAGTGCTCATATACATGGCTGCCATATCAGAGAGCACAGAAATAGATCATTTCCAACATCACAGAAAGTTCTATTGATGGTGCTGGTGTGAAGCCTTTAATCTAGGCCCCGTAACTACACCCTTCTCCATCCACCATGGCCATGATCGTCTCTGACGTGGGCCCCCGAAGCCTGTTTCACTGGCACCTCCAGCCTTAGATGAATACTTGCAGATTCGTAGAAGAACAGACTTGCCCAGCTCTGGTTACGGAGAAGCCGCACTCCATATTTTTCAGGGATGTCTAATTGTACTATATATTTTAGTGCAGGGCCTGGCTGGGCAAGATAAACATCGCCTCCTGATTTTCGTTTCACAAAGAATGACTGGCTTGGCCCTCACTCCTCTGGTTCCCAAGATATTTCGACAAAACCATCAAAGGATCTATTTTCTTCAAAGCTTGTCCGCCAGAACTCTGTAAACCCTGGGAGAGTCCAGCAGTAGCAGGAGAGAATGGGGAAACATTTGCTGAGTGAAAGGAGGCGATTCATCGCCCACTTCCCTTCTCACTCTCTCAGGAGGAAGCTTCACCCGTTTGGGAGCCCGTTTTCTTGAGAGAGGGCAGGGACACGAATCTGTGCTGAGTAAGTGCAGTTTAGCAAGCTCCTTATCTAATTAAGCCTCATAACAGTCGGATGAGGTAACTGGGTGGAGGGGAGAGAAGTGGCAATATGGGGCCTTCCTCTACCACGCACCATACTGGATGTGTGGCACAAAGGACCTCATTTATCATTTAACCCTCACTACAACTCAGAGAGAGAGAAACAGAGATGGGGGAAATTGATTATGCTTAATTTTCCAATAAATGAGATTCAGAGAGGTTAAATCATCTTCCCTAAGTCACACAGTTTGTGAGTGGCAAATGCAGTGTTTGACCCCAGGTCTCTCCAATTCCACTGCCCTGGCTCCCTTCACTCCACATGGCCTCTTGCGGGTAGGACCCAGGCCTGTTCACTCCTGTCACCAGCTGTCTGTGGTCCCCTCCTCTCCAAGGCTGCTTGTGGTGGTAGGTCCCCCCCTTTCGGACTCTCCTCTTTTCCCCGTCCTCCCCGGCCTGCCCTGTCTCCCTGCCCTCTGGGCATCCTCCAGCCCTGGGACTTGCTTTTGTTGCTACTCCAGCTGGTTAGCACACTCTCTTCTTCTGGTTAGTGGCATGACCAGTCCATCTGTGACTTGGGGAGCCTTGTCTGTTTATGGCTTTTCTCAGCTACTTCTTTGGAAGGTTTTCACTGATTTCCAAGGAGGCTTCCAGAAGAAGCAGTAGGTATAGTAGAGAGAGCACAGGCTTGGGATTGGGATAGGGAGTGTCCAGAATTTGGCTTTGCTGCCAACCACTTATGTGGCCTTGACCTAGCGACAAAACCTATGTGGGCCTGTTTCTTCAGCCATCACCATGAAGTGATTGTGTGGGGGGAACCACTAAAACTGGCCCCCACGAGTGGGGCTCAGAACTGTGCCTGGTAAGCCCAGCAGGTAGGAAGGGAATAGGTGTCCCCGAGTCGACACCTTCTAGAAGCCAGGCGCTTTTACATATAGCATCTTGTCACATCCTCACAACAACCCTGTGGGAGAGCTCTTAATGCCCCTTTTACAGATGAGGAAATTGAGCCTCAGAAACGGCTCATGACCACGTGGTGGAAGCTGCTGGACTCCAACCTAGCGCTCCCATCTCTCAGTTGAGGGCTCTGATTGCGTCCCACACGGACCACCCCCGGCACAAACAGCTGGGAGCAGGATGCCAGTCAGCACACCTCTCCTTCCCCCTCACACACTCACACACACACACACCTCTCCTTCCTCCTCACACATTCACACACACACACACACCCCTCTCCTCCCCCCCGCGCACACACACACACACACATCTCCTCTCCTTCCCCCTCACATTCACACACACATTCTTCTTACCCCTCACACACATACACCTCACCTCTCCTTACCCCTCACACTCACACACACTAACTCCTCGCTCTTCACACACAAAACAACATTCCTTGGCCTCCACTTGCACACACAAACACTTCTCCTTACTCCTCACACACACATACACATACTCCTTCCCTCTTACACACTCACACACACACACAACCCTCCTCACCCCTCACACGAACTGACACACATGCACTCACTCCTTACTCTTCACACACAAGACAACATTCCTTGGCCTTCACATACGCGCATACAAACACTTCTCCTTACTCAGCACACACACACACTCCTTCCCCCTCACATACTCACACATGCCTCTCCTTACACACTCAGACACTCACTTCATCTCACACACACATACTCCTTACCCTCACACACACACATGCAACACAATACCCCTTGGCCTTCACACACACACACACACACTCACACACTCCTCGATCTCTCTCCCTAGCAGAAGGGGCAACTACCCATTGAGGCAAGCAGTCAGTCTCGTGACATGGGGCACCACATTAATGGGGCGGTACTGTTAAGCCCACACGTGCCCACTAGCGTGAGCACGTCCATGCACACAAACCTATGCTTGCAAACCCTCACCCCTTTCTTTCCTCCCTTGAGCCTGCTCTGAGTCAATTCAGCCAGGCCCGCAGCACAGTAACCCCCTGAACTCACCATCCTGGGGCCCCTGTGATGTTTGCAAAGAGTCATGGTATCTCCCAGAGCCAATATCTAACGATTCAGAATGACTTTTCCGAGGAGGCAAAAAAAAAAGAAACAAAATACTCTCTTCATAAATTCCACAACCTGATGCTCACAGTGGCTTCCTTGTGAAAAGAAATTTGTTTTTTTTTAAAGTGCCACCAGTGGGGACCACACGAGATTAGATTCCAGGGTTTTTGGGGATCTGAACCCCAGGAGGACTGCCTGGTGAGGAGGCTCTCCAGAGGGGGACATCTCTGCTCAGGTGGCGTTTGCAAGGTCTCACTCAGGGTTAACGCGCTCTCTCGTGCATTGTTTCTTTCAGACCTGAAATCATTTCTCCTGCCTGGATTGAGGAATGTGTTGTGCTGCCTTCTTTGCAGTCACAGGATCAAAAGCATTTTCCCTAAATCATTTTTTAAAATCCTCATTAAACATGTCATAAGATAAAGTGGACAAAATTACTCACACTTTTCTCCTTAATCTTTGTAACAGCATCGTTGTCCTGGCGGGGTGAGGGGGAGTAGGGAATGACGGCAACTTGTCTTTTTTTTTCTTTTTTTTCAAGAAAAACACAAAGCTCCAAAAGAAGAATAATTAATTCTCAGTACAAAAGGCCCTTTCCTGTTTTAAAAAAATAATTTTCTTTCAAGATTTCTCCAAAAAAGTCACTTTCCTAGTTCAGGTAATACAGGATGCCCCACACTATTAACGTGCTCTGAGTTTGGCAGCCCTGCGCCCTCACCTCCGGGCTTCCTCCACAGTCCAGGCACCTTTTGTGAGTTCACTCAGGCCCCTCACAGTTTACATACCTTTCGAGGTTCAGACCCCCTGCACAGGTCCCACCCAAGGGAGACACTGCGAGGGGGACAGATCATTCTCATTCCTAAGATGTGAGAGCTAGGGGGCCCTTTGCCATCATGTCAGCCGACCCTGGGTTTTCCGCAAGCACCTTGCCCCAGAATCCTGGAACCATGACATCTGAGACACGGCAATCGATCTCCTCCTCCTCACAATGTAAGAACAAAGGAAGACAAAAACCCATCTCCAGGGCAGGGACGTGAAACATTCATCCCTGCTCAGGGGCTCCACATTCAGGGCACAGACAGGAGAAGTGATAGCCCAGGATGGATGTCAGCGGGTGGGAGCCGCAGGCACTCTGTCTTGGTGGCTTCATTTCCAGGCAGGTTTGGGCCGCAGCTTCTCTTCAGGGGCTGAGCAGTTGCCATTTGCTTTCAAAGGGTGGATTCAGCTTGCTAGAACCAGAACCCCAGGAGAAAGAGGGAAAGGTCATTTGGAATCAGACACCGGAGTTCGAATTCTGCTCTACTTCTCACTATCCGGTGACCTTGGATCCATGTCCAAATCTCTGCCTCCTTGTCTGTAATTCACCAGGATAATTGACACCGTATCTGTCTAGGTCTCAGCAGAAAACAGGATTCCACTCGCCCAGGTCAGCTGAAGAGAGCAGGCAGGACTCCTTACAGAAGTGGCGGTATTAAGGAAACCATCATAGGGTGTGGACGCACCCCAATCTAACACCAGGCCCGCAGGGGAGGGAAGAGCCCTGGAGAACTGGAGCTGCAGGGGAGAGGCCGCTGACAGCAGCTATTCACAGCGGGGTTACTCCAGGTCGGGCCCCAAAGCCAGAGGGAGCAGAGGAGAACACCCTGACCTCTCTCTGCTCTGCCCTGACCTCCTGCCAGCGGCTCCCCAGTGGTCAGTCCCAACCAGATACCATCCGGCAAGGGAGCCCAGGAGAGGCAGGCCGTGGGGTCACATCCTGGGGCTCAGAGCTGGGCAGGGAGTGGATGGGGAAAGCAGGAGTGGGTGTACCAAATGGAGTCTAACCAGCGTGTTATCCTTCTTTCGTCTTGTTATGAGGACCAAAATGTACGCAACATACGTAAAATACTTAGTATGCAGGCTGGTGCATAGTAGGATCTCAAAGAGATGGAATTCTGGTTCTCTTATTTTCTTTCTTAACACTTTTCAAAGCTTTTTCTTTTTCTGGTAAGATTCTAATTAGAATACATGCTTATTGTAGAAAATGTGGAACTTGCAGAAAAGCATAAAGAAGAGAATAAAAATTACCTGTCTCCCCTCTCCAAAGAGCACTGCTCATATTTTTGTGAATGCCCCTCGTTCCGTGCATTGTTTTATCAGGGTTAGTCTCATGTTAGAGATACAATTTGTATCCTGTTTGTTGTTTGGGGATTTTTTTTCCCCACTTCTTTCATAAGCATTGAAATTGTTCCCAAAATATCCTTAGTGACTTCCTACGAGTAAATCACATGGTTGGGACTACGAACTGGGAATCAGCAGACTGACGTCTCATTGCAGCTCCGCCAGCTCTCAGCTGCGTGACAGTGGACAAGTGACTGAACTTTCCTGAGCGTCAGCTTCTTCGTTTGTAAAATGATGCAGAGGGAGGATAAAGTTTAAACATCTTCCAAAGCTGCTGGAAAGAGAAATGAGATAATTATATGAAACGATTAGCTCAGCGTCTAGGACGTCATGAAGAGCTAAGTGGTAGCTGTCATAATTGTCGGTACCAGTCCATTGTCATTCCTCTATTAGTGAATATTTAGGGCTTTTCTGATTTATTTTTAATGAAATAATTCTGTTATGACATTTTTGAACTTAAATCTCTTTCCACCCTTCAGCTCTTTCCTTAGGGTATGTAAAGCTATTGGTCCCAGGTATAGACATTTAAAAACACAAGTTCTAGAGCCAGGTGGCCTGGGCTTACATCCCAGCTATGCTACTTACTAGCTGTGTGATCCTGGAAAAGTCACTTAACCTCTCTGTGCTTCAGTTTCCTCGTCTCTAAAACGAGATAGTACTAGTATCACCTGTTGTAAGGATCAAATGAGATAACAGATGCAAAACACCTGGCACAGGTAAACAAAACAAATATTAGCTTGGGTTATTATCATGCATACCAACAATCAGGTTCTTTTACTCATTTATCCCCAACAGCTTTTAGCCCTGGGCCGAACATCATTTGGGTCGACTTCCAATTAATGCGTATTAAACGGGATTAAAATGGTTGCTCTGAGCATTCCTTGCGTACTCTGGAAGATGGCCCGCCTCCTTATGAGGGGGTTAACCAGAGGCCAGTCCTCCCCCTCATCCTGTCCACATCTTAGCCACCCCCCTCTAATGATGGCCTGTGTCTTCGGGAGGTCCTTTCCTTTTTGTCTCAGTCCAACTTATAACACTGTTCGCTTGTTACAGAGTTCCCTAGACAGATCCCGAATGGTGTAAGGCCTCTCCAGAGGCTTCTGGGATGATAAGCCAGAGTCCCTCTTTCCACCACTGCCACCTAAGGATTTAGGGACACTTCCTGGGATTTGGGCCCACAGCCCCTCTCTTATTTCTCACCCACAGTCTCATAGTCTTGAGAGCATCAAACTACTTTATTCCAGGCTGGAGGGTTTGAGCACCTGGTATGTACAGGGCACCGGAGCAAATCCACCATGAAACCCAAATGGGAAGACTGTTTAGGCCAAAATATAGGGCTGTGTAAATAATCCGGAAACCCAGCAATACAGGCATACCAGGACACTGCAGCTGGGGTGCTGGCAACACTCCGTTAGCAACAGCTGCTGCTAGGTTAGTGGGCAGCTACTAACCTCCAGTGGAAATACACCATTCGGGAGTTAATAGATTGATTCACGAAGATGATAAATTGCCACACGCTGGGTGTGTGAGGTGGATGATCAAGTGGCTAGTTCCATGATCTGTGATTTCCAGTAGGAATTCTTCCCCAACAAAACTTGAAACTCAGGTTTTGAATTCTCAGAGGTAATTTTCATCTTGCTAAGTGTTAATACACATCCTGATACTCCCAAGCAAATAGTCAGTTCATTCATCCCAGAAATGTTTAAGTACCTACTACATGCAAGGTACTGTATCAGGATTAGTGGATTAATCCTTCTCTAGAACAGGAAAGGCAGATACACAGCAAGTGCGCCATAAATCCCCTATCCTTTGCCCAAGAGACAGCAATCTTCCCAAGAGCCTGGACATGGTCTCAGACACCGTCTCAACATAGGGCTCTAGAAAGTCCTACCAATCAAATGGAATTGACACGCCATTAAACCCGATTGCAATCTAGATGGTAAAACAGTACAGGTACTTAGAGAATATGGAGACAGCAACAGAAAGAAGTCTAAGCAGCCATCAGCCATCATGGAATGAGGTGGAATAATTTTGAAAACAGCCCCACGGCTGGTTGGTGTGACAGTGCAGTCTACGCCAAGGCCATCTTAGGAGTCTCAGCAATAGGTCCAGGCTAAGAGCATAGACTTTGCTATGTGACCTTGAGCAAGTCACTTTACCTATCTGAGCCCTGGTTTTCTTATTTATAAAATGGTGATGGGACCAGCCTCGTGGCCGAGTGGTTAAGTTCTTGCGCTCTGCTTCGGCAGCCCAGGGTTTCACCAGTTCGGATCCTGGGCACAGACACGGCACCACTCGTTGGGCCATGTTCAGGCGGCATCCCACATGCCACAACTAGAAGGACCCACAACTAAAAATATACAACTATCTACTGGAGGGATTTGGGGAGAAAAAGCAAAAAAAAAAAGATTGGCAAGTTGTTAGCTCAGGTGCCAATCTTTAAAAAATAAAATAAAATGGGGATGATAATAACAATACCTCCCTTGTAGGGTTATTATGATGAATAAATGAGATGATGCAACTTAAAGTGTTTAACAGTACCTAATAGTAAGTCATTTGCTTTTATTAATTAAATATAGACAGTATCTAGGCAAAGAAGAATAAAATGTTACCCTCCTCCAAACGACCCATTAGAAGGACATTCTGGACATTTGATAAGATGGAAAACTTTTAGACCTGAGTTCTAGAATTAACATTGTCTTATTTCCATTGGAAAAGGTGCTCGTTGAACCCCACAGAGCTGGTTTCCCAGGACCTGTCCCAGAATATAGGGATGTGGTCATTAGGACATATACTTAGCTGGAGCTCTGCCTCACCCTGAAACTGAGCCCATCCAACAGAGGCAAAAGTCAACAAACATGGCGGTGCGTTCTCTTGCCTTTGTCAGGTGCCTAAAGGGCATCTATCTTCTGATTCATGAAAGGGGACCCTTGCCAAATATATGGAAGAGTCCAACAGGACTGCATCCAGAAATTGGTGTGAACACCAGATAGATTCTGCTCCTATTCTGCCTTCTTTTATTGGATAATATTATTATATTACAGACACAATATGAGTCCTGTGTAGACGTTTAGGAAATACAGTGAAGGAGAAAGAAGAAAATAAAAAGCATTCATCATCCCACCACCTAGGGGAGAAAAAAATTAGGATATCTATCCATCCAGACTTTTCTCCCTGCATTTTTAAATTGTAAAAATATGAGATTTTTAATTAAAAACCCCTGCTTAAATTCTCTCTCTCTCCCTCCCACCCCACCCCCCTCTAGCCTATCATTACCAGTTCAAGATCCAGTTCATCAACCAAATGGAGACACCAGGAAAACCAACTTTTACCATGTCACTCCTCGGCACGAAAGAGGAAATGCAGAAAGTGCCCATCACTCTGTGAGTACAAGGTGCAGCCCTGTCTATGATGGTGACACGCTTAATTTTCTCAAAGGGTCGGGATAGACTCTGTACTTTTTAAGGGTCAGGCCAGACACAACTTACTCTCTCAGTCCCTTATGACTGCCCCAGACACCCTGCCAGAGGGGACATCCACCCAGGTCCTGTGCCTCATCTTCCCTCCTCAGCCTCATCCAGTCCCTCTGGTTGCTTTATGTTGGCGCTGCCTGTGTATGTGATGGGCCAGTGGCCCCATCCGTGTCCACAGTGTAGGAAGAACCAAGCAGGGAGGAGTGGGGAGGGCTGGAGCAGGTGTCCACAGGAAGGCCCTGAGCGCCTTTCCAGTGAGTTCTGAAACCCATAACCCAGAAATAAAACTGGAATCGTTCAACTTGGCACAAATTTCCCATCTCAATCAGCCTGCACTGCCAGCCCTCCCCATCTGTCCTTCGCCCTGTTACACACCTGCTCACAACACGCCTCTCTCAGAGGCTCCCCAGCTTCACTGGCCAGAAAAGGCCCATTGGCTGCTTTCTCTCAGCATCTCGACCCTGAGCATGGCCTCTCCCTGCGAAGTGACACTAGCTGTCCACCCACTCCAGGGACAGTCCTCGCCTTCCCAGGTGAGGATCTCTGATCGTCACACCCACTCAATCATTCAGCAAGTATTCGCTGGTGCTGTGCACCAGAGGTTGAGGGGACCCTATCCTTAGGCTGCCCCTGGCCCAGGGGGACTGGTGGATTCCAAATGATTCTTTACAACATTCTGCGGGAAGAGCTATGACAAGCCGCACAAGCGAAACCTCCATCCATCTGTCTCTCTCTAAATCCAGCGTTACCCCTGGATAACACTGTCTCAGATCTCTCCCCAGGGGATTGTTCTAAATAGTGGAAAGGGCAGCGAGCTGCTCTGTCAAAGTTGGGACATTTTAATGTCTTAGAGATTAGTGAGTAAAGCTGATAATGATACCTAAGGATCTGTGTTTAAATCTTGCCCCAGATTGGTGCATCCTTTTTATATGTGGTTTTCTATTGCTGTTATACTTTGTTGTTTTAATAGAAGTTTCTGTTCACATGGGGAGAAAGAAAAGCATTCCTGGGGAAAGAAAACCATGGGGTGGCTCTACTGTGTTAACCAAACTACGGATAGCTGAACTGCTCAGAGGCCATTGCCAAATCCCCGCTGTCTCTTTGGGGGCAGTTTTCCTATCTGTTAACCTAGGAACCAGGATGCCTGAGCTAAACAAAGTTAAGTAGATTCATTATTACAGACCTCTCGGAGCCTTTTTAACATGCTGACACAGAAAGTAGTATGGTGTTCCCAATAGTATTGGTCTAGAAAATCCTTTTTATCCCAGCACACTTATTGCTATCTCGATTAATAGTCTGTCCAACACCAGTTTGGGAAATGCAGCAGAAAACACCGTCCCAAGTCACTCAGGCAACCTAATGCATCCTGAACGTACCTCAGCATCACTTTGCTGGTACAAATAAATAAACTGTGTCTGGTTTCCTTTCTATCTTCAAGGGGCGAAGGCATTACTAGTAATAAAACCTATTCCTTTCTCCTCACACTGGATTTGGATATCGGTGAGTTGGTCATGATCAAGTTCAAGTGGGACAACAGCGCAGTATGGACCAACGTCTGGAACACGGTCCAGATCATCATCCCATGGGGCAGAGAGCCCCACTACTCAGGCCTTGTTCCAAAGAGCATCAGAGTTATGTCAGGAGAAACCCAGCAAAGGTGAGTGCTGATTCAACCTCCTCCTAACATCTACTAAGCATCTACATGTGCCAGCACTTTCACAATTTAATGCTTGCATGTCTCTTATGAAGTAGACATTATTACATCCTAATGATGGCATAAAGATGCCGGGAAAGGTGCAATGACCATCCAAGTTCACACAGCCATAGGTGAAAGGACCAATATTTGCACCCAGGTCTTCTGATTCCCAGGCTAGCCTCTTCCCACTGCCCATAGTTAACAACTACCTGCCTCCGGAGTTTGAGAACCACCTCACTAGCCCAGTGCTTTCCAAACTTCGGCATGCAGGTGGATCACCAGGTGATGTCAGTGCTGCTGGTCCTAGGACCACACTTTGAGTGGCAAGGACCTGGATGTGACATTTTGTTGTTGTTGTTTACCCAGAGAAATGCTTTTAACAGATCGCAATCTCAAAATCTCACTCTGTGAGGGTGACTTTCAAACCTTAGAGTACCAAAGAATCACTGGGGAGCTTATTAAATGTGCAGAATTCCCAGACCCACCTGCAGTGTTTCTGATTCATTGTGGTCTGTGAAGGACCCAGGGCACACACTTGTTAATAAGAGCCCTGAGAAATCTTGATGTGGACCAATGGATTACCCTTAAGAAGTCCTGCCCTGTGTGATTTAACATCTCCCTTGGCCCCAAAGTCCCCAGGGACAATAAGGGGTTGAGGCGGGGTAGGGAGTAAAGGAAAGAAAGGATGGTCCAGCTGCTCCTTCTGTCTTCTCGGCAGAGCAAAAGGATGCCCAGCATCTTTTGCCATGGCAACCATGATTTTCTATAGTTCTGCAGTTCTCCATGAAAGGTGAACTCCATCCTTACCCAGATCCTTTCCTCTCTCCTCCCCCCTGTATTCAGGAAACTTGTCTCTCCTCTCCCACCTTCCTTTGTTGGGAAGCCCATTTATCTCTCTTGCTTGTCCCCAGTAGAGATGGAAAACAGCAGGCCTCTCACCTCTGAGCTGCACTCCTCCCTCACCCCTCGGGTTTCACTGCCAAGAGCAGGCCCATGGCAGATTTATGCCCCCTGAGTCCCTTATACAACCGCACTCTGAGATTTTATCTCGCCGGGATACAAAACCCTGGCAATTACTAAGAGCATACTCTGCAGTCTGCCAACAGTTTCTCCACGTGATCAATTTGAGAAAATTAAACTGCTTCTCTCCTTGTACACACTTAGCTATTCTCGCATGACTTTTTGGCCCCTTAGAGCAGCTCTACTTCTGAGCACCACCCTCCCCGCCTTCTCTCAGCTAGAGAGCAATTTCTCTGTTTTTGTGGCTGTTCACCACGACAATTCTATGTGACTTGACCTGAAAGGCTGTATAAAATGCAATGCTACCTCTCCACTGGTGCTTACCCACATGGTTCTGAAGAAGGAAAGAGGAGAGGGAAGGGAATGGCTCTTACAGAGCTCCTACTGCACTGGGCACTGAACTACGTGCTCTGGAACATTAATCCCACATCATCTTCCCAATGGCCCTCTGAAACGGGCCCTATTGGCTGCGCAGATTAGAGATCTGAGGCTGACAGAAGTGACACAGCTTGGGGACATTGCTAATGATTGTCTGGGCCCACATCGGACTCAACTTGGTCTGACTCATTGCCCGTTTGTTGCCTTTGCATTGATTATTTCCAACAGCTCCTTCCCTCGTTAGTCTTGGCACCATTAATCTGATTTTCCTTAATCTAATCCAGCAGAGTTGCAGTGCTGGCCCTTAATATATATGAGCATCAAACCCTTCCTTGAGGCTGTAGGAGCTACATGCTGAAAAGAGGGGAGGGGCTATGGGACCTATAGATTTTTAAGTTGTAAGTGCCCTGTGCCTCCTCTGTGTCTTCACAGTACCAGGCACCATTGGGGGATACCAAAAAAAATCTGAGATGTGGCCTTTAGCATTGAGAAAATCCAGGACCTAATTAGGAAAACAAGATGCATTAATTTTACTAAAGATCTGCTCCATCCAGAGCTTCTCAAACCTCAGTGTGCACAAGAATCATCTGGGAATCATGTCAAAATATAGGTTCTGCTTCAGTAGGTTGGGGCGGGGCCTCAGATTCCGCATTTCCAACAAGCTCCAGGTGCTGCTGATGCTGCTGGTCTGCGGACCCCACTTTGAATAGTGAGGGTCTAGTCTTGCATGGTCTAGGAAGCCTAAGAGGAAAGACATCAGCTCAGGTTGTTGGTGGTGGGTCTGTGCTGCAATGGGCTTTGCAGAGGCCAAGAGGCATTCCCAGAGAGCTAGGCAGCAAGCAAAGCAATATGTAGGCAAAAACCAGTGACTACTGCATCGTCCAGTCCTAATCTCAAATTTTGACCTTACTGCTTACCACCTATGTAGCCTCAGAATAACCGCACCTTTCTGAGACTCAGTTCTTCAGAAACGAATGGGGATTATAATATGTATCTCAGGAGACTAATAACAAATACCTATTTTTAAGTACCTTCTACAAACCAAAATCCCAGAGCCAGGATGTGAACCCTAAACCTTGTGCTCTTAATCTTTCTAACTAACTACAAGGAAAAAAATTAGTTGAATAACTTGCTCTGTGCCTCCATGGGAGGAATTCATTGAGGGTGATTTTCTTTCCCAAAGGCACAAAGTCAGGGATGAGAGGTTTTGTGGCGGAGTGAAGAGGAAGACCAGAAAATATTGGTCCTATAGCAGGACATATTGGCCTTTTAGGAGGAAAAGCAATTGGCTAAACATAATGGGAAGATGTTCGATTTCCACAGTAATTATATAAATGCAAAACAAAATCAATGAAATTATCACTGGTTGCTCATTAGTTTGTCAGGAATTAAAAGACAGATAACATCCAGAGTTGGTAAAGGTGTGGAGAAATGGGCATCCTCATAAACTATTTGTGGGAATGTGAATTACACAGCTTCTGCAGGGGAGTTTCATTCAACAGCTAACACGGAGTGAGCACATACCCCAGGCCAGGCACTGTCGTGGGCACCAGGTACACAGCTGTGAACAGAAGAGACAAAGCTTTTGGTCTCGTGGAGCTTATATTATCAAAATTTTAGACATATGTAATACTTTGGCCCAGAATTTTACTTCTAGTGTCTATTTGGGAGGAATACTCAAAATATCCACAAAGAATATATATGTAAAGAAGTGTTTGTTGCAATACTGTTACTGAACCAGGCTCGTTTTTGCCCATCGCCCAGAAAGCCAAACAGCAAGACAACAAGATTGCAGCAGAGAGAGGGTTTTTAATCACAAGGCAGCCAAGTGAGGAAACAGGAGAACAAGGCCCAAATCTGCCTCCCCGAAACTGGGGACTTGGGGATATTTATGGGGTAGGGAGCAAGGTGGTCTGCAGTGTGGAGATAGGTGATTGGAGGTGAGGAGAGGTGAGGTCATTGATGATGTGCACAAGCATAGTCAGACTTCATGCCTCTTCACAGGACACATGTTCACAAAATGGCGTCCTTAACATGACCTGAGGGTGGAGTTTTTAGCCTCTTGACGTCAAAAGGTCACTTATTGGGCATCTGCGCAGCCCAGTTGATGGGTTGGTGGTCTCAACTGGCCTAAACTGGACAACGGGGTCCTAATTCCTGAAAAAACAGCTCAAACACCCATTACCATGGTGACCCAGGTGCCAGGGAGATGTTATCTATAGGAACCCAGTGGGAGTCAGACAGCGTATTGCCTAAACAGCACAGTTTACAATGGGCGGGTTAAACAGCTAAAAGCTATAATCAGTAATTGCAAAAAAGGGGAAAAAACTTCAGTTGCTAGCTACGTAATCATCAATGGCTAACTGTTTACCTATTTCAACATTTTTTGTCAATAGTAAACCATTGGGAAAATCTCAATGTCCATCAATAGGAAAATGGCTAAATGCATTGTAGTATACCCACACAATGGAACGTCATGCAGCAGGTGAAAAAGAATGAAATAGATTTATATGTACTGATACGAACAGGTCTCCAAGTACATTATTTGATAACAAGGAAAAATTTTAGAAAAATACATCCAGTATAATTCTATTTCTATAAAAACATCTTCACGTTTGCATATGAACATTGATAGATATGTAAATGCATAGGAATGGGTCTGGAAAGACGTAAACCAAACCAAATGAAAGCAGGGAGGGGAGTGATACTGGTGAATGGTGATGGTGGAGAGAATCTTACATATTTGACTTCATTTATTTCTTTACTATTTGCATTTTTCAAGAATGCTTTGAAAAATTACTCATAATAGTTTTTATTTCAGCTTTGTTGAGGTATAATTGACAAATAAAATGTAAGATATTTAAAGTGTACATCATTGTGATTTGATATACACATACACTGTGAAAGGCTTCCCCCCTCTAGTTAATTAACACATCCATTACCTCACATGCTTATCTTCTTTTTTTGCAAGAACATTTAAGTTCCGCTCTCTTAGTAAATCTCAATTATACAATTCAGTGTTATCAACTAGTCACTGTGGTTTACATTAGATCCTCAGACCTTATTCATCTTCTAGCTGAAAGTTTGTACCCTTTTACCAACCTCTCCCTATTTCCAGTCCTGGCAACCACTTTTCTACTCTTTTTATGCGTTTGACTTTTTTTTTTAGCTTTCATATATAAGTGATACCATGCAGTATTTGTCTTTCTCTGTCTGACTTATACACTATTTTAATTTTAAAAGCCTGATTTAGTAAAGACTTGGCCGAGATGCAATTCAAAGAAAAAGGAAGCCATAAACTAGAATTCTCTCTGACTACTGCTAATTTTTTTCCTAATAGATGAGACTGAAGTTAGTAACACAAAATAGTGTCTCAGGCCAAGCTAATGGTCAAAGCGGTCTCACAGTTGGTTTCCAAGAGAGACCCAAAACAATTGTGATGCCCTCTTTGGCTGGACAGCATCTGCACCTATAAGAGGAAGGAGCAGGGCTTACCAGGCTAAGCTAGGCAGAGGCTAGTGATAGTGGCCTCCGGCCCAGGGACCTTTAAGAACAGCATTGACAAATTGGAGTGTGTCCAAAGAAGGAAGGCTAGAGAGAGAAGCCCGCCCGTGAGAATAGTGAAGGAACTGGGAGTGTTTGCCCTGGAGTCCGGGCGATGGAGTGAATGCAAACAACAGTTACCCTCAAACCTTCCAGGAGCTGTTTCAAGGGAGAACCAAGGAGGACTGCCTATGGGACTTAGGGTTCTTACAGAACTGGACCCCGACTCCCTCCCCCCTCCCCCCGCCAGAGAGCAGCTCCAGGAAGCCTTTCCCTGATTGCTTTCACTGACTTGGGTTTTGTTTTACTCAGAAGTTACGAAAATATTTGCAAACATAAGAATCTAATTTTTAAAAAAACATAGCATGCATTACATCAATTGAGTATTTGACAAAGGATGAAACACTTCAGTAAGCTCCATCTAAAAACTTAACGCTGTGTTTGCTTTATGTTCTCCGTTCAGAACGACATTTTGCCCAGAAAACGTGGATGATCTACAGCTTCACCCAACCCAGGAGAAAACCTTTGTGAGATGTGAAATAAGCTCTAAAAAACTGAAGCGAAAGAACAGATGAGCTTTAATGAAGACCCAGTGCAAAGAATAAATGATCTTATTCCTTATCTGAAACGGCTGTCTTATTTGGAAACCAAAGTTATATAAAGAATCTTGCATGAAGTTTAGATTTACAGGGAGATTACATTTCACTATTATAAACTAAGCTTTTAAAAACTATATTATGTAACAATACTCAAATATTAGTTTAACCAAAAATTCCCCAATTTTATGTCTGACTGAATGGTAATATATGCAAATAAGTACAAATGTAAGAGCCACTTTAAACCCGTTGTTCTAATTTAAAATGTCTTTTACAATTAAGTCAGATTTCCCATATTTCTTTGCTAGTTCCTTCTGATCAGTTTTTTGAACCATGCTGGAAAAGTACTTCTTTATTACATAACTAGCACTTCAAAACAGTGAAGTTCCAATTAGTCATGGTTATGTGTCCCAAAGTACACACCCTTTAAGAACAATTCAGCTACTAAAAGAGGAAAAATTCTACTTAAACTGTTAGTTGCCATCATATAAATTGTACAATTATTTCACTGACCCAAACAAATAGAAGTAGAATTTTTCTAAAGCTACTAATGATAAATGAAAGCTGGACAGTTGGTCATTTTAATAATTCAATTACTGTTTACAATTTTCCTCTTTTGCTAATGCTTGCAACAAAAGCTAATGGAGAACTTAGAATTCTGTCTCAAAGAGTTAGATATTAAATCTTACACTGTCCAACACATGAAATAATGATATTTCGACCAACAAATTCTACCACAAACACGTGAGGGAAATACGAGATGTGTTATCACTTGCATATGTGTTTCAACTCATTCAGAGAAGTTAAATGCTGTGCACATTTAACCACCTAACCTGACACTCATATGGGCTCAGCTCCCTGCAGTTCATAATTCACATGCTCTTCCCCAGAGCAGGGTAAAGCAGGACTGGCGAACACAAAAATCCTGAAGAGAGGTCTGCCTCTGACTAAATTAATTTAAGATTATCTTGCATGATTCACTTTTATTTCCCTTGGAAAGATCCATGAAACTAAAGGATATGGGGGTGTGGGGCAGGGCACGGGGAGGAAGAATGGCTGGGTCAACGTTGCATTCTGTCCTGAATGCCCATCTCGCCTGCAGATGTATCCGATCACACCTTCAGTGTGTGTCTAGAAATGATAGATGTTAAAATGAATGACATATTCCATTATGTCTAAAGCACTAAGATTTACAATAAAATCATGTTTGCATTGGATTGGCATGTTCCATCACTAACTATCCAGAAGGAATTTAAAATATCACTTTTAAAAAACAGGATGAAAACACTCTTTGCTGTATACCCTAGACAGTCTATGACCATCTACACCAGGAGACATGGAAAAGAATATTCCTATCAGCCTTGAAATCATTACAACCAGAAACAGCCCACTGGCCACCAGGACGATGCACAAATGAACTGTGGTATACTCTTACTCGAGGTTGTTAAACTGCAGCGAAAAAGGTAAACCAAACTACACACACAATGAGAACAGGGCTGACTATCGAGGAAGGCGGCGAGGCTTCTAGGGGCAAAATTTAAGGAGGCACTCATGGGTTTGTGCATTTGCACAAAGACACACAAAATATATATAGTATGATACAAGCCAAACCAAACTACGTCATTAGGGATGGATAAATAGGTGGTGAAATTCTAAATAAAAGCAGTAAAATCACTAGCACACCAGTGACGCTGCGGTAACTTTAGGAAGGAGGAAGCGCACGCTTCCAGAGTTCCAGGTGCCAGCCAGACTCTACTTCTCACTCTGGGTGGTGGTTGCACAGGTGTTCACTTTTATAACCATTCTTTAAACTGTGCATATATATTTTATGCACTCACTTTTGGTACAAACGTCACATCTTGCAATACGAAGGAAACAAGAAAATAAAGGGCAGAGTTAAAACCAACATTTTTCTACTATAATGTAATATTAGCGTTTCAATACTAATATGGTTTCCCACAAAATATAATTAGAAATTATTTCATCTTTAGTAGGAAAACTTGAAGTGACACAGTACATCATAAAATGCAGAGACTCCATAAGCAACTGACACGACAAATGGTTAACTGGAACATTTGGAACTCCTCTTGGCTCGGGTTATTTTCACTTGGGAAGATGTGTTCATCGACGTCACATTTTCTGAAGTACATCTTTGTAGGGAAGTCAAATAGGGAAACTGAATAATGCAGCCACATCTGTTCATTGCACATGCAGAATGCCGGCTCGTGCACTGATTATATGCACCTCTTTCCAAAAAATCTGTATTTACGAGCCCACTCCGGAAAGATAACACTAGCATCTTGTCTTTAGGCAAAAGCCTATTTGTGATTTTACTTATAAGAGAGCACAAGGAAAGAAATGGAGCATCGATGACACTGCAGCTGGGCACTTTGAGGTGCGTGGAGTCGGAGCAAAGGAAACAAGTACGCTGTTCAATGCTAAAATGAATGCCCGATCCTCCACACTCCTCCACAGCAGAGCTGACTGTCCTCAGCGGTCACCTGGATGATGGTACCGCACATATCGTGAAAGCTTTGATTGCAGTTACACATGTCTGGATGGCAAAGCAAGAAGCCAGGCTGCCCAGTGCAATGCCTGCTCTCCACAGAGCCTGGATTAGAGGGGAGTCAGAGGGATGGGAAATAAAGAGACAAGCAAGAGGAAGACCAAAGAAGTCAAACCCGAAAGTCACCGTCTGCCTGCTGACCTTATCTCGTACGACACGCTTCTAGAATCCCAATGACCTGTACATGATGAACGGCCCCCAACGCACCTCATTCCTTCCCATCTCTGCCTTTTCTCAAACCTCCTTCCTCTTCCTGTCTCCTCCAGAATTTCCCCCTCCCTCCCTGCCTAACTCAGTCTTGTTTATGTATCCAGGCCCGGTTATTTTCACCAGTTGTTTCGGAGCTCAGTCCAGCCCACAGGGATCTTCCTCTCCTCTGAATGCTGGCTGCGACGTCAGTGCTGCTCCCTGCCACTCTCTGGGCCTCAGTGATCCGTGCCCTGCTCATTGTCCTCCTACCTCTCGGTCCCCTCTCTGCTCCTTGCCCTCTACTCAAACTTTCAAGATTGGCAGTCGCACGGCCTAGGCCTCCTTCTCTGCTCACTCGGTTCTCTCTCTTTAAGCAATCTCACCCCCTCCCATGGCTTTATTTATGACCCATATGGGCCAACCAGTCCCACGTTATAGCTCCCCTGTGCGTTCTCCCCTGAGCTGCACTCCCATATATCCTATTGTCCATTCCACCGTTTCCCTTTTGCTGCCTCGCAACCTCAGAATGTTCAAAACTGAACCAACCACACCCTCCCTGCACCCCGAGCCTGCTCCCCCGGCCGTGCTCCCCGTTCTATAGCTCACGAATGTCATCACCACCCGCCAACTGCCGATGCCAGGCGCTGGGGGTCATCCATACTGTTTCCTCCCCTTTGGCCTCTCACAGTCAATCACCAAATCCCATGAATTCTACCCATATTTCTTAAATGTTTCTACATCTCTCCACCTCTGCTGCCATCATCCTATCCCAAGCCCACCATTCTCTCTTACCTGGATGTTTCCATCACTTTCTAACTCTTCCTGCTGCATCCATCTCTTGCAGTCCATTCTCATCACAGCAGCCAAAGCAATCTTGAAAAAAAAAAAAGAGTCAGATCACGTCATTTTCCTGCTTAAAGCCCTTCAAATAACTTCCCAATGCTCTTTGGAGAAAGCCCAAAATAATTACCGCGGCCTCCAAGCCTTCAGTCAAGTCTCCCGCAACTTCTCCCTCATCCACCACATCGTTCATTTTCCACCAGGTGCCCACCCAGCCTGCACATTAAAACTGCTGCGGAAGGTTTAAAAACCACCTATCTTGGCCCCATCCCTAGAGGTTTTTATTTACTTGGTCTGGGGCAAGGCCTGCCTATTGAGACCTAAAAGCTTTCCAGGTAATTCTAATAGGCGCTAAGTTTGAGAAGCGTGGGTCTAGACACAGGGGCCATCTTGCAGTTCCTTCAAAAGTGCAAAGCTCTCCCCTGCCTCTGGGCTTTGCCCATTCTGTTGCTTACCCCTCCTCCTCTTCTCCCAGCTTCTTCCCATGCTTCCGGTCCCAGTTTAGACGTTATTGCTTCAGGGATAATCTCCCAAGGATTATCCCGCCCACACAAGTTTATATCAGCTCCCCCTGCTAGATACATTCTTAACATCTTTTAATTCTTCTGGTAAAATTATATGCCATGTGGAGCCAAGAACAAAATGAAAAACCAGTAATACCAATCCTGTCTTTATATAAAAGTTTGATATTTTATTCATCATAGATTTTTGCATTAATTTTGATTTTTTTTAAACATTGCATTGATAGAGTTTTTTGGTGCCCCCTTTTAAAGTATGCACCCAAGGCAAGTGCCTCAGTCACCTCGCCCTTGTCCCAGCGATTTGTGGGACCATTGATTACGTCCGTCTCCCCTGCCAGACTTGAAGCTCTGTGAAGTCAGGCAGAGTTTCTGGCTCTTCACTGCTTTATCCCAAGTGCCTTGCCCACTTTGGCACAGACTTAGCATCCCATGAATACGTGTTGGATTAACAAGTGACAGTCATCTTTTTACAGTTACGTCTTATCTCTCCCATTAAATCATAAGCTTCAACTACTGTATCTGTTCAACACGGAGTTCACTGCTCCCTCATTCTGTTCACAAACAAAGCCAGGCTCGTGTAAGCGTTGGCTTCCTTTCCCACCTCAAGGGCGTTCTCCTCTCTTCCCGCCCACGAGCCTCCTCTAGGCCTGGCTCAGCCTCTGCCTCAGTCAGTTCGTTAAAAGCCCTGGTGTTCCTTGACTAAAGTTTTACTTTTCAAAGAGGTCTATCACAAAAAGGATTTTCTAGAGACTCAGAGCTATCTTCATGCCAAATTACTTAGAGTTGGGAGTGACCAGAAGGGTCATCTAGAACAGTGCTTCTCCAACTGCACTGTGCACGGGGACCTTTCAAACGCCGTTTCGACTCAGCAGGTCTGCCGTGCGACCTGAGATCCTGCATTGCTAGCAAGCTCCCAGGTGATGCCGGTGCTCGTGCCACCACTGCTGGTCCCCAGGCAACACTGAGTAGCATGAATGTAGACCAGTGTTTCTCACTCTTCCCTGAGACAGACATCACCTAACACGTAATACAACGCATCATGAAACACTGATGAAAATCCAGCTGCCCAGACCCCTCCCCTGAAGATTCTAACTCAGGGGGTCAAGGACAGAGCCCAGAGACTTTTGTTTTTCACAAGTATCCTGGGGAATTCTCATCAGAAAAATCAGAGACAACACTGAACTAGTCCAAAACCTTCCTCTCGAAGGAACATCATCACATCTGTGGCCGAGCGTCTCCAGTGAAGGGAGTCCCTACCCTTATAGGGAGGAAATCTGCCGGCCACAACTTCCCCTCCTTGGTTTCTTCCTTGGAAGCCATAGAGACCGAATTAATGCCTCCAATAGCTGAAGACGGTCTATGCAAGACTGCGAGCAACTCGAGGGCAGACGCTGTAATGTGTTCTTGGGTTTTGTTTGTGCAGTTGTTTTAAATTTCTCATTTTTAAGATGTTTTACAAAAGCATAAAGCGACATGTGAAACAACGCAAAGATGTGTAAAGAGAAAGTTATTCATCTCCCTACATCCAGCTCCTACCCCACCCCAGCGAGCCGGGTGGAGAACAGTAACAGTGTGTTAGTGGTTCCTTCAAATATCCACAAGCATTTATCCACACTCAGGGCTTTCTGTGTTCTTTTCTCCAAAGTAGAATCATGGTATGTAGACTGCTCTGCAACTTGCCTTTCTTTCTTATTTTTTAATTAATTTTATATCATTAGTGTCCTTGTAAGTCAGGAGAGATGGGTCTTTTTTCTAATTTCTAATAATAAGTAACAATTACTTATTCTAATAACTAATTCCAACTCTTAACTCTAATAAGTAGAATTACACATGCTGGAGGGGTTAGTACCATATTTTTCCTGCTCTTCTTGCTTGGGCCAGTGTCTTGTCCCCTGACCCACGTTAACAACGTGGGGTGTAACTGAAATTTTTCTAAGGTCATAATCCTGAACATCTATACAAATTCTTCCATAGAGGGGAGTCGTCATTCTTTTACAAAAATGTAATTATAGTATACATTCTTTTCAGCTAATTGATTTTCTTACTCAACAGTACCTGAAATCTTTCTAGGTCGATCAGTATAGCTCTCATTATTTTTGACAACTGTGTAATATTCTACATTGTAGAGGTGTTTTAATTTATTCAATGAGTCTCATAGTGACGTGCCTTCACTGTGCTTCCAGCTTTTTGCTCCTCTGAAAAATGCTGCATTTAACACACTTATATATAGATATCCTACATATGCACATTTATAGGAAATATTTCTGGCAGTGGAATTGCTAGGTCAAATGATAGACTTTTTTAAAATTTAATAGAGGTTGCCATATCGCCTTCCTAAAACACTGCAACAATTTGCAGTTCCACTGGCAATGTATACTCATATTCTCCACTCCCTACCTCTCGGCAGAAATATTTATTGCTGATTTTAATTTCTGCTAGTCTGACAAATGTAAGTGATGACTTTATTGTAACTTTACTCCAGTTTTCACTACCTACTTTGAGAACTGAGAATATTCCCATATGCTTATTGAACTTGTTTCGCTGTGAATTAATTGCTCAAATCCCCTTTTCTGTTAGAATCCTTGTCTTTTTCATGTCAGTTTGTAAGAACTATATATTTTATGAAATATATTAACCCTTTATCTTTCAGTTTCTTTGCAAATACTTTTCCAAATCTATTCCTCTGTTGATTTTAACTACAGTATTCTTTGCTATACCATAGTTTAAATATTTTTGAGGTCCACAAAGTCTAACATTTCTTTTATGACATATGGATTTCCTGACTTGGTTACAGTTTCTCTCACCATTGAAATGCAAATTGTACAAAATGAAGATTTTCTTCCAAAATTCATGTTTGTTTTTCTCCCTTAAAGGCTTTAATCAATTTGAAAACTTTTTTTGTATATGGTGGATAGAATGCCAACTTTATTTTCTTCTATATAGATAAAAATGGAATTAACATTATCTATTAAATAAATTAACTTTTCCACCCTAAATTGAGATCCCACTTTAATCATAAATTTAAAGTACATACTGGGAACTATTTCTTAATTCTCTATTTTGTTACATTGATCTCCTTGTTTATTTCTATTCTAATCATTCTTAACCGATTTCAAAGTCTTTAATTTGTTTGCTTATAGGGGCTTTTTTATAGTATATTCTTGGGCATGTAGTCTTTCATATGCACTTTAAGGTAGTTTTACCCAATTCTCCTAAAATCTCAGTTAATATTCTAATTGGGAATACATGAAATATAGAAATAAGTACAAGGAGAATTGACCATTTTGTTTTATGTGGTCTTCTCACACAGGAACATTGTATGTTCTCCATTTGTTCAGAGCTTGTTTCACGTCCTTCAATAAGGTTTTATAGTTTTTATTTTTAATTTTTATTTATTCCTAAGTATTTTAATTTTTGTCAGTATTGAGAACGGAATCATTCATCCCATTTCTTTTAATAGGGCTTATGACTAGTGTACAGAACAGCTTTTGGTTTTTGTTTATTTATTCTATACTTGTCTGCTTAAATTATCTTATTAACTCTACTTGGTTGGTTTTTTTTACTAGAATCTCATGGTGTACAATCATTTCATCACCAAAAACAGAATATAAACTATTTCACTTTTTTCACCTTACTGGGTTTGCCAGAAGCTCCAAGACAATGTTAATCAAGAATGCTGATAGTGGACACTGCTGTTTCATTCTCGAGATTAGTTAAAAGTTTTAATGTTTTGCCTTTATAACATACTATTTTTTTTAGTTTTGGCGAGTAAAGTTCACTGTCTTTAAGTGGTTTTCTTCTATTTTTTCTCCCTTTTTTTTGTTGAGGAAGATTAGCCCTGAGCTAACATCTGTGCCAATCTTCCTCTATTTTATACGTGGATCACCACCACAGCATGGCTGACAAGAGGCATAAGTCCACGTCCAGGATCCAAACCCACAAACCTGGGCCTCCAAAGCGGAGCACACCAAACTTTACCACTAGTCCACAGGGCCAGCCCTTTTTTCTTCTATTTTTTTTAGAAGTGACTGCTGAAATTTAGGAAATGCCTTAGTAATATATGTTTTTTCTTCTTTAGTTTGTTCATAAAAAAATGTTGATAGATTTCCTGATACTGACTCACACTTGCATTCTTGCAATAAATCCTCCGTGATCACAATGTATTTTTTCATAACATTGCTGGACTTTACTTGCTAAAATTTTATTTAGCCTTTTGCCTTTATTTTCATGCGTGAAACTGATCCACACCTTTTTTTGGTGCTATCATTTTCATGCTTTGATCTTCTACAGCTTTCATCTATGGACATGAATAGTTTAGATAATATTGTGATGATCTTTATATTTTTTTAATTAGAGAAAAACTCAGCTGTTAAACCATCTGGTCCTTGTGCTTTTGCATGTAATATTCTTCAGTTTTCAGCTTTTACTTATTTATTGCATCAAATATTTATTTAAATTATTTTGTGAAATACCTTCAAGCAAGAGAGGTACAAGTTTATATATGATCACAATAATGAGAAAATGAAGGCATAGCATTAAAGCACAGGAAAAATCACAAACTATGCTCTGAAACTCTAGTAATTCTCCCTGAGGTAACTGAAGCAAATGCACACATTTTTTGTGGAAAATAAGATTAAGCCACATGAATGCTATGTAGTGTTCTGTCCAACCTTATGTTTAGATATAATCCACAAAAGGAAAAAAGGGAAACCAATAGACTATAGTTTAGTTAACTGTCAAGAGAAACTATGCTGGAAAATGGTAATTTCCCTCCCAATTTCTAGAGATACTCTTTTTAAGAGTATACTTAAATATATGCTTTTAGACAGCAGATTTGGAGTAATTCTAAGTTCTTTCGATTACTGGTAGATTGGAGGGTTCATTTATTGCATGGTTGATGCTTTGTGAACAGCCCACATGTTTGTTTTCTACCTTATACCCTGAAAGTCTAAACGGAATAAGATGTACAATGAATCTCATTACTATTTATACTTTTAAACAATGATATACAATGACATGTGTAGGCCCATAAACTTAGGAATATAATGTAAGGTAAGGGATCTAATGCTCTTTAAAAACAAAGAGTTTCTAAAAAGAAACATGTAGTGAACCACAATAAGCTATTTCTGTAAGAACTCTTCTGACTCTACCCTCTTCTAGGCTAGAATAAAATTAGTAAAATTGAAAGATCACAATAACAAGTATAAATTACATCTGGATTCTTATGATTTTAGTTAATTAAAAAAAAAAGGAGGGGGCCGGCCCGGTGGCGCAGCGGTTAAGTTCGCACGTTCCGCTTCTCGGCGGCCCGGGGTTCGCTGGTTCGGATCCCGGGTGCGGACATGGCACTGCTTGGCAGCCATGCTGTGGTAGGCGACCCACGTATAAACTAGAGGAAGATGGGCACGGATGTTAGCTCAGAGCCAGGCTTCCTCAGCAAAAAGAGGGGGACTGGCAGTAGTTAGCTGAGGGCTAATCTTCCTCCAAAAAAACAAACAAACAAAAAAAAAACAAAAAAAAAAAAAAGGAAATACAGGACAATGCTTTTTTCTCCCTAAGAAGGAAGCTTTTACTTTCACAGTCAGGGCCAGGACTAGAGGGAGGCAAGCCAGCCACCTAGGTCACCAAACCCAAGGAAGCAAGATTATGTAAGTGCGAGACCCTCACTTGTGCGGCCCTGAGGGTGAGTGCTTCTGTAAGAGTGAGGTGGCCGGGGTGCCAGGCTTGGCACCTGCATGACCTCATCCTGTTGAATTTTGTACCCTCTG